AATCTATGTAGCGCATCTTACCAGCCAACCAAAGTGCACCATGTGTACAACATACTTTGTGCCAATGATGTGCATAAATCAAGTTAAATAATTAGAAAATTTAATTAAAACTACAAAAAAAAATTAAATACATAATCAAATAAAAGTATATGAAAAATACTCAAAATGCTTATTGAATAGAGAGTTAATTATGAAAATTAAAATTCTCAATTTCTAAATGATAATTTATGAGTTGTTATAGAAATATAAATAATTAAATAATTAAAATTAACTTAAAAAATTATTAATCACCCAAAATTTATCAAAGAATTCCTTGGGTCCTCCATGACCTATGAAAATTTTCTTGGGAAATTTAAAATAATAATTAGGAAATTATTAAATTATTTTAATATATATATATATATCATACAATTAATAACAAATTAAAATGTGATCAATAAAAATCAAACTAATTAAATTAAGAATTACTAAATAACACATAAGAAATTAATTATATAATTTAAATAAATCATAAAAATTTTTGATATAATCATAAGTTCAGAGAAAATTATGGAATACCACAATTCTTTTTCATTTACATATTTAACACACAAAATTTGAAATTTAAACTTATAACACATTGGTGCCATAAACCTATATATTGTTATATTTCACTTTTGAAAAATTAGTAATCATGCTATATTTTAGGTGATGTTAAAAATTAGATATGGCATATAAATATGAAAGTTCAAGTGTTATATAGGTTAATTTATGAGAATTGTGTGGCGTGTATGTAAATGCCCCTTAATTTTAGCTTTGCCACTGAAACTGATGGCCATCAATCTTCTAAAGAAAGAATGGCATAACAGCCCGCTTGATAGTATATTAATGCATTCTGCAACTATGGAAGTATCATTTATAATATATATGTTATATTAGTGAATTTATTTCATCCCAATCATGCCCCACAACTTTTCATTTTCCAATTTTGCAATATAAAAAGTACTAGATCTTGAAGGGTTGCTCTCAACTAATCAATCTAATTGCACATTGGATTTTGATGTTAATACAATAAAATCTCTCCCTATGCAACACAAATGATCCGAAACACAACAAATTTTATCCGATTTCTAAACTTTCAATATAAAATTTTCAAACTTAAGATTAAATCATCAAAACTATCAAAATGACCAAAATTTAAAAATATTTGACGCAATCCAGAGCTTCGCTCTAGCCAGGGCACGATCCAGAGAACCTTACAGGGCTATGGGACGATCCAGAGCATCGACGTGAGCTAGAGGCGATCCACGCATGTAGACTTAGCGGTTAGACCTTCGTGCTTTGCCCATTATTCAATTTTTACAGTTTTCTCATTTTTTTTTTGGGAGATGGTAAATTGATAACACGAAATTTTATATGTTCGCATGGCACTTTATCTTTGGATGAAAAGGTGGATTTGATTCAATGATTTGTGAACCTTTATAATTAGTAGTTGTTCTCATAAATTTAATGTGATAGGAAAAGAAGTGTGGCATGCAGGTAAATATGATAAGGAATTATGTCTATATTCTAATGTTGAAATCTTGAAAAGTTCTTTCACTAATTAAAGTAGGCATGTAGGCATCAGCTCTAAGCCTCTAACATTTGAATAAACAACACAGACCTTTTGGTATTTAAATTAAATAAATGGGGCATTTACATACATACCACCAAATTCCTATACATTTAAGCAGATTTGGGATTTAGATATGTAAATATAGAATAATTGTGCTATGTATGCAAATGCCCCATTATCATTTTACTATATATATATAATATTTGAAAGGAATGGTCGGAGGCTATTATATGAGCCCCGACCATCCCTCATGCACCTAAGTTTTCGAAATACCACACCTTACACTCGGGGGGAATCGAACCCTAGACCAGATGAGACTTAGAACTAACAAGCAGATGCCCGGCCAATTGATTTGAGTACGCGCACGCGGGGGGAATCGAACCCTAGAACACACTCGCTTCAACAATCTGGAGTTGATATTGGAGCATGTTCTAAAGTAACTTCAGCACAAATTCAAAAAATGTAGAAGTTAAATGCTTTTGCATAGTAGAAAAAGAAGAATGTTGCATTTAACTAGTTCAAATCAGTTGTGCAGCTCTCAATCAAGTGAGAATTTATTTAAAGCAGATGATTAAGACTAGAATCATAAGAAAAGAAAAATATCAAGCAATAGTACTATTGAAAGAACATTTAATTTGCAAGCTAGAGATCCTTCACATAAAAAAATTGCTCGAATATTTTATTTTACATCTCTTCTATTTCATTTGACAAGAAATCCATATTATTTTAGCATGTTCTCATATGCAGCCAATAACAAAATCAATGCATATATTTCTCCTATTTATAATCTGCTAAGAACAACATTGCTTCAAAAAGAAAGCACATGTTGAGAGAATGCTTAAGCTTATAAAGGAGGCCTGAAATAAGAAAGAGAGTTATCATAGTTTGTGATGATTGGACAGAAGCGCAAAGAGGACCTTTAATTAATTTCATGAGCGTCACAAAATTTGGATTAATGTTTATAAAAACTTATAACTTTGAAGAGGCACAAGTTGTACTATACCAATAAAATTAAAAAAGAAATTGGGTGCGTATGTTCGGATAAAGTGATTCAAGTAATCACTGATAATGCATATGTGTGCAAAGTTGCAAGAGCAATGATTGATGCTGAATAGCCTCTTATGTTTTGGACTCCTTGTGCAATTCATACATTGAACTTAGTATTGAAGAATATACACGCTCCAAAAAATATATAAGAAAATGAGACAGCTTATGAACAATGAGTTGGATAATTAATGTTGTAGGAGATGTCAATTTTATAAAAAAATTTATTATGAATAATTCAATGAAATTATGAATGTTCAATAACTTTGCAAAACTAAAAAAGTTGGCTATTGCATAGACCTATTTTGCATCAATTATAATCATTCTTAAGATATTCAAAGCAATAAAACATGGGCTATAAATAATGGTGATCAACGAGCAATGGAATATTTATCGCGAAGATGATATAAGCAAGGCAAAATTTGTGAAAGAAAAAATCTTAGATGTCGTGTGGTGGGATAAAATTAATTATGTTACAGATTTTACAAAACGTGTATATGACATGCTGAGATTGGTTGGTACAAATAAACCTTTGTCTCCATATTGTCTACTATATGTGAGATTCTATAATAGAAAATGTGAAAGGAACTAAATATCGATATTACAGAAAGAGAGACAATGATGACTCAAATTTTTATAAAGTTGTATATGAGATCTTAGCAGAAAGATGGAATAAAAATAACATTCCTCTTCATTGTTTAGCTCACTCTCCCAATCCCATGTATTATTTGATTTGATGTTATTCTGTATCAATCCTGACTTGTATTAATCTTGTCACTTATAAGTGCATTTTTTATTAGGCATTACAGTCACGTTTGGCTAAGTGAAGCTCATATTGTGTTGCTCCATATAAGGATATGGAGGTATCGATTGAGAGAAATAAATGCTTAAAAGAATTTTCACAAATATTGAAGAAAAATCAATTATTAATTTGAAGTTTGTTGATTTCTTTGGATTTAGTAGTACTTTCGCTGATCATGGCTCCATAGCTTCTAGAGTTATTATGGATGGAAAGACGCGATGGAGGATTTATGAAGCAAGTTCCCCATAATTGCAAATTTCTTGTGTTCATCTTCTTGTTGTTAAGAAACAAAAGTACAAAATCTTTTATCAATTTACTTAAGGGGAACAAAATCACTCCGCAACGAGGTGAAATTTTAGTATTTGTTCATACTATTCTCCGCTATCTATCTAAGAAGAGCATAGAATATTCTTACGGAGATAGAAAATTATGGGATGATGTTGAAAATGCTTTAACTAAAATGGAGGATATTAGAATTGTTGAAGTTGCTAATTTTTCTCTTGATAAGCCAAGCTTAGAAAATGTGTTTTTCATTGATGAAGGTGAAGCTATCATTGATGAGGGCAATGGAGCAAGTACAAATGTAACAGCACTGTTGAATGCATTAACTCTAATTAGTATAATTATATTGTTATATTTTGACATTTTGTTAAATTTTGCTTCATTTTATTATGGATTACATTGGCATTAAATGTTTTGTTGAAGGTGCCATCCATGAGAGCAATAGAGCAAGTACAAATGATGACACCACTCTTGAATGCATTAACTCTAATTAGTGATAATTATGCTATTATATTTTGACATTTTGTTATATTTTGCTTCATTTTATCAAGAATGACATTAACATTAAATGTTTTGATGAAAGTGTCATTGATGAGGGCAATGGAGCAAGCACAAATGATGACATCACTGTTGAATGCATTAACTTTAATTAGCGATAACTATGTTGTTATATTTTGACATTTTGCTATATTTTGCTTCATTTTATTATGAATAACATTGACATTAAGTGTTTTAATAATTTTTTGAAATTTTGAATGATATTTTGATACTTTCAAAAATAACTTTTTATGAGTTTACCATTATAAAATTTTCTTAATAACTGTTTTTGTTATTTTGTGACGTCTTTAGTAGAAAATATTATAAATATATATTTAAATTAATAATTTATTAGAAATATAAAAACGTGTCCATACTGTATCTAGTCATATATTCTGCAATTATGCGGTGCCATGCTGTGTTGCTCTATCGTATCGTGTCGTGTATGTGCTTCACAGGCTAGAACACAACTAATGCATCAATTTCTCCCACATTCTGTGTGGCCTAAGTTTTATGCATGGCATACACTATTTCTATGAAAACTACAGAGAAACATCCTAAATGTCTGTGCGCAAACATTCTGCTACAAAAATTATTGACGGTCTACGGCCAAGCTAGAAACATTGTGATGCGTTGAAGGGTGTGATGCAAAGTGGAGATCATAAAAATAGAACTTCACTAGTTCTATTTTAAAGAAATAAAGGGCTAAAACAGTAGATATGCTGTTGTACCTATTCCCAAACTTTTTAATGCAGCATCCCAACAAGTAACAAAAAAGTTTCTTTAAGAACTATAAGGATTAGCATCTTTATATTTCGTTGTCTCAGTTTGAACCTGTATCGAGGACAGGAAGCCTGCAGTGAAAGCTAATAGATTTATCCGTCAACCTTGTTCCAGGAACAAAGAACTGGAATATCACTGTCAAGCAAACACCCTGCGGAGATATGCCTGCAATTTAACAGTTATGACTATAAGCAAACCACAACCAAATGCCAACATTTCAATGTTCAGTTAATTACATAAGAATCTCACCATAGAAAGCACAATCAGGTTTAGCCAGATGACACTGCAAGCTCTTTGCTAGGTGCTTCAAGCTCACTTGCTGCCAAATTACAAAGCCAAAAATACAAGAACAGCAGAGTAAACCAATGGCCAGAGAAACAAAAGCAGAACGCAGGAAAAAGCAATTAGATACCACTGAGAGTGCTTCTCCTCTCTGAATTGCCATTTCTGTACGGGTTGGTGCACTTAGGTTTTGATCACCAGTGGGAGCATCAGCTGCAGGATTGAAGTGAATTATTGATAGGAAATTTGCAAGCAATCACTCAAGTCAGAAAAGGTTAAATATTATACCTCGAATCCCAAGTACCTTGAGCCTCCTAAACTCAGATCCAACTGTAATAAGGGAGGTAGAAACCTGAAGATGGAGGTCACCATACTGAGTAATGGCCAACATCAACAATTCTCCAACATTCTTTAGTCGGTCCACCAAGTTCTGCAACTGAGAGAGATCCGGGACTTGAACCAGAGTCTATCACAAGGACAAAAGAAGAAATCTTCAGACCCTTTGGCTGTTGGTTTTTTAAAAAATTAACTGCATAGTAATATTAATCATCCTAAAGATAAGATTATTTGGAAGTGGTGTTGCACTTGAGAAATACTCTACATGCGCATCAAATGGATATTTAAAACTGGTTACTCAACCTGCATTCTACAACTAATAAGGGAAATACTCGAGTTTAAGCGTTTGTCACTCCGCAAATTCTAGATGAAATTGGAAGGCCTTGGCTAAATTAGAATTTGGAACTAAATTCCACGTTCTTTTGGTATAAAGTCGATAAAAATAAATTTCCATATTTAAAACACGTTCATAAAGATGATAAAAGGGTAAACTTACGAGGAATTAAATGTTATATTTACTTTCTTTTACATAAAATAAAAATAAAATATCATGAAATTGAACCGACATTGAATTAGAATACCATATCTATCTCATGATAGTAATACAGTGGTATAAAGTTGATGGAATAATGAGTAAAAATGAAATTGTTGCAGCCTAGGAAAATATTAAATACAGGTTCACAATAAAGAAGTCATACAAAACACTAAATATCACTAAAGCTAACATTAATTTAGCTTACTTCAATACTCGCTCCAATTAATTAAGAACATGCATCAAAACAAACTATTCCTCAATCAATAAGATGAAAAATTATAAATAAGGTAATCTATGCATAATTAATGATAAATGGAATTTCTAGTATAAAGATAGTGGACTATTGATCCAATTTTCATTGTAGATCATTCTCAAGCTCACCCATAGTTCTTGTAGGGTAGTCCCGCATCGATCATGATCATTATCGGCCTTGGTGGTCTTTGATCAAGTCCGCTTCGTGCACGATTTGCATGATTGCGTGTAACGATTAGTTTAGACGCTCGTGGTCGACCAGGTTCACAGCTGTGCTTGTGAGTCGAGTTGTGTCCGTCATTATGTTTTGAAAAACATGTGATGATTGTGATAGTGATTTATTGACATTTTACGTGAATCTGAGTGCCCAGAACTTCATTTGCATGAAATCTTGACCCATATAAAAATTTTTCATCAAAACTTCATTTTGGAAAACATGTGTATGCACATCTGAATCATTGAAACAATTCAGCTAGGTTTGTGCATGTTCGAACCAAACTTCATGGCAAGGTCGAGGTATTGAATGGCTTAATCATTTAATATGATTTAAATTTAGTACAATTATTATTATTATTATTATTATTATTATTATTATTATTATTATTATTATTATTATTATTATTATTATTATTATTATTATTATTATTATTATTATTATTATTATTATTATTATTATATATATATATAGCATGGCGTTGGTAGCGGCAGCAGGCTCTGCTAGGTTTCGCTCCATGGTGATTATCGGCGGTGATTCCTTGATTTCTCACTTTCTCTCCGTCGTCTCCCACGATGACATTTTCACGCTCTCGCAGACGTCCTCCTGTCAATGACGCTCGCTCACGCCATCTATGTACTCGACGACGCCTCACCTGCTCTTGACGACGCTCGCAGCTCTCGTACTCGTCGACCCCGCAGTCGATGGCTTGCGTCTTCTCACACCCGCAGTCTACAGCTCGCGTCGTATCTCATTCTCTGTCACCCTGCTCGACAGACATTACCTACTCGGCTTTGTCTCTCACCCATAGTCGATAGCTCGTACCTCTACTACCTCTGAAGTTTGCTCGCCTATTTCCAGCGGCTCGCCTAGCTGCTCTGGAGATGACATCGACGACTATGCCACTGCACTTGCCGACAACTTCCCATTCCTACTAGTGCTCCTCTTTCAGGTTCAGAGCCTGGTTATATGTTGGCAAGTCCTGCAATGTTCCTCAATATTTCCATGGCGCTCTTGAAGGTGGTGACAATCACACTTTCATTAAAAAGCATGATAAAAAAAATGGGAAGCCTGCTCTTATTCTCACTGAGGTTTAAACCAAAACTCTCGCGTCCTCTTGGCGTTTAGCTCTAGTGGGAAAATTCATTTATAGTCACCTAAAACTGGAGATCATTCGAAAAGAGTTTGATGTTACGAAGCTATTGGGCAGTAGGAATGTTGGCTTGCTTGACGATCTACAAATACTTATTCAGTTAACTCATGATGCCGACTACACTAACATTTTTTCTCAAAAATTTATCAAAATCGACAACAGTTTTATGAAAATTCTGAAGTGAACTATTGATTTTGATCCAAAAGTGGAGTCCCATGTCATTTCTGTTTGGATAAAGTTTCTGGGGTTAAAATTACATCTGTTCAACTTGGAAATTCTCTATTCATTAGCAACTGCTTATGGTAAGTCTCTCAAGGTTGATAGTCCTACACTTGCTGTCACCAGACTTTCTGTGGCTTGTGTGTTACTTGAGAGAGATATCACTTAACCAGCTCTGGATGAGGTATGAATTGACACCACTCACAACGGGTATTGACAAAATGTTGAAATATAACCATACCCTCCTTGTTGCTCTCATTGTAGTATGTTTGGTCACAGTTCTACTATTTGTTATCGTTTGCATCCTCATCTAAGGTCGAATATTGCTAAGATCAGCCACCTACCATCCCTGCTGAGAAGGTGCAACCCGATCCTCTTTCCAACACCGCAGTTCCAGATGAAGAACACCATACTATAGGTACAAATCCAAATGTGTTTATACCACTCACACTTATTGAAGAAGACCCACTTACATGTCAAGATTCACGAGAGTGTTCCTTCGATCCGATAAAAGGTCAGCTGGTACAACAAGTAGTTGCTTCTAATGTTCAACAACATACACATGTCCGACCCACTTTAGACCAATCCACTGATCAGGTGAGTCAACCTTCGGATGAGGAATGACGGGTCTATTCCAGGAGGAAGAAGATGAATGGAGGCCGACTCAAGCTCGAAAATTTATTGGATGATACATTGGTTACTACTGACAATGACACTCATCTTACAAATTTATTAGCTGGCTCTTTCCAAGGAAATAGAGACAGAGACAAGGCAAAATTGGGTCGCTCTCTAGCTACCTGATATCCTGTATTTGACGCTTTTTGGTTTTTTCTTTAGGTCTCTCATGTATTTTTCTGTATTTTCTCTTTTTGGAACTATTTGATGTGGTGGTTATCGTGTGGGCAGAGTGTCATGTTTGGACCCTCCCACAAAATCTATATGTATCCTAATTTTTATTTAATATATTAGTCATTGGACTTTCTCAAATAAATAAATAAATAAATATATAGGAACAAGCACGAGAATCGTGTGTGTAGGGCTCGTCTGAGTTCGTGAACGACGTTGAACAGGAACAAGAAGCTTCGCACGGGAATCATCCGCGAATGACGCCTCTGCCTCCCCCTCTCGTAAGTAGCTCAATTGTTGCTCTCGGTCACGCGAGGAAGCCAAAGCGGAAGCTGCGGGCGCGGGAGAGGGCACACCACAACAGTCCGTGAACGACGCCGAACAGGAACACACAACGTTAACTTTTCTCGACGCTCTCAGCAAGACGCCAATAGGAGACGCCGACTACTACGGAATTTCGGGATTCAGCAGACGACGCCGACAGCTATGGGATCTGCTGTGGCCTCGACCATGCGTTCCTGTGCTAATCCAGTTGCTGTTGATTTTCTTATTCCTACTCGTGCTCTTCTTTCAGGTCCAGAGCCTGGTTTTCATATTGACAAGTCCTGCAATGTTCCTCAATCTTTCCACGACGCTATTGAAGGTGGTGGTGATCACATTTTTATTAAAACGCTTGGCAAAAAATAGAAGTTTCCTCTTATTCCCACTGAGGTTGAAAGTCCTCTTGGCATTTTGCTCTAGTGGGAAAATTTCTTTATGGTCACCCAAAACTGGAGATCATTAGGAAAGAGTTTGATGCTATGAAGTTTGATGCTATAGAGTTTGATGCTATGAAGATATTGGGCAATTGAAATATGGGTTTATTTGACGATTGACATATACTGATTCAGTTATCTCACAACGTCGATTACACTCGCATTTTCTCTCGAAAAGTATTTAAGATCGGCAACCCTTTTATGAAAATTTTGAAGTGGACAGTCGATTTTGATCCAAAACGGAGTCCCTAATCATTTTTGTTTGGATAAAGTTTCTGGGGTTAAAATTACATTTGTTCAACATGAAAATTCTCTTTTCAAAATTCTCTATTCTTTAGCAACTGCTTACGGTAAGCCTCTCAAGGTTGATATTCTCATGTTTGCTATCACCAGACTCTCTTTCACTTGTGTGTTAGTTGAAAGATATATCACTCAACTAGCTCCGGATGAGGTATAGATTGACACTACTAACAATGGGTATTAGGAAAAGGTCGAAATAGAACCACTACCTCCTTATTGCTCTCATTATAGTATGTTTGGCCACAGTTTTACTATTTCATATCGTTTGTATCCTAATCCAAGGCCGAATATCACTAAAGATCAGCCATCTACCATCCCCGCGAAGAAGGTGCAACCCGATCCTCTTTCTAACACCGCAGTTCCAGATGAAGAACATCATACTACAGGTACATATTCAAATGTGCTGATTATTCAAATGTGCTGATACCACATGTGCTGATACCACTCACTGTTACTAAAGAAAACTCACTTAAATGCCAAGACACACGAGAGTGCTCCTTCGATTCGATAAAAGATCAGCTGATACAATAAGTAGTTGTTTCTAATGTTCAACAACCTACACATGTCCGACACAGTTTAGACCATTCCACTGATCAGGTGAGTCAATCTTCGGATAAGGAATGACATATTCCAGGAGGAAGAAGAAGAACAGAGGCCGACTCGAGCTTGAGAATTTATTGGATGATATATTGGTTACCACTGACAAGGACACTATCTTACTAATTTATTAGCTGGCTCATTCCCTAGAACTAGAGGTAGAGGCAAGATAAAATTGGGTCGCTCTCTAGCTATCTGATGCTCCGTATTTTGGCACTTTTTAATTTTTTTCTTTACGTCTCTCATGTATTTTGTTTTA